AGTGGCTCTATGGGGGAGCCCCCCACAATCCCCCTCCCTTTCAATGGCTCTATGAGGGGAGCCCCCCTACAATGCCCTCCCCTCAGCTCCCTGTGTCTGTATAAAGGGAGGGGCTCCCACAGCTGCCCTCTGGGTCTCTCTAAGGGGGAGGCTACAACGGCAGTGATATGGTTGTGGAGAAGCCAGCTGGGCAGGGATCATGGGCACTGTGGGGACTTTGGCAGAGCATGGAAACTGGCCTTGACGTTGTAGGGACCCTGGCCCAGTGGGTAACAGTTCAAGTTCATGTGACCCCCCCTCAGCTATATGGATAACATAAGTGCCCCCCTATCCCTAGAGATAAATTTCCTCAGGGATGAGGCTGTAGAAGATTAATGTTACCAGAAGGGCTCTGGGGTAACTTCACAGGCAGAGAAATATTTACGAGTTTCTCTGGGAGCTGTACATTCTTGTATATCACTAGGAAACTAAATCAAAGACAGATTGGCTGAGCAGAGTACAGGTTGAGCCCAGTGGACTGGAATAAAATCAAAGCAACTTTTTCCTACTTCGTATAAGGTCCGGTCAGTGCACAGGCTGGTTCAACTTCAAGCTTCTTTGCCAGCACAAATCACCAAGAGAAAAGTTCCCAAGTCTCTGTGAGTCATTTCTCAGAAAAAGTACTAGAGCTGGCAGGGCTTTTTCAGGAAAATTATTGCTTCACTATTTTCTCAGTTTACAGTAAGCCTCAAAGATACTTATAAATCAGACAAGGCAGACGTTGCCAGCACAGATAGGCAGACCAGCTGTAATGCTGCTTCCTTTTCCACTTGTCTTCCAGATTTTCTAAAAAGAGGGCCTCATTTAGCACTCTTTCCCCTTAATAATCTAAATCAAGGATCTGTCATTAATAGAAATTTCATCCATCTCACTCACACCAAAAGAGTGTGTGAGAGTGTGTGTGTACAACATCACAGACTGTAAGAAGGAAAGGAAATTTCATTCTCTTTCGCTACCGGCCTAGCAATCAAAAACAAATTCAGTTTTAAAAATTTATGCATCTCTAGGTAGTTTTGCAAGGCCATGTGAATGGATTACTGAATATGTTCAATGTTTCTCCTCAGATTTTGATGTGGATGGTGTCATTTTAAAAACTTGCATGACTCAGACAGAAAATAAAGAAGAGAAGGGAGGATGAAGTCCTGCCCCTGTCCAGTAAGGTCTCTTTTTTATATAAAAATATCCATATGAACCAGTGGTGTGTATAAATATATATATATTTATATATATATATACCAGTGATCAAGTGACCTGGAAAAAAACTCACAAGATGGTGATCTGGTGACCTTGGACATACGTCACAAATGGTTGCTTTTTTGCCCTAGGAAAAAATCACGTTTCCTTTCTTACAGAATAATTAAAATACTGCAAGTTCCTGGTTGAAATGTAACCTAGAGGTAAATCAGTAACCTTGCACTGAATATTGCTCCTTTGTGTGTGCAGGAAAGTGATAAGAATAATGGAGAAGAATTAATCTGCTTATCCTGGCAGGGGCAGTGACCTTATTTTGTTTAAATCTCAAATTTCTGTGTTGAGTTTCTGTTTGTTAAATGAGTATTTAAGCAGAGTCGTCTAGGGCCACAATTCAAGAAAGCACTGAAGCATGTGCTCAAGTGCTGTCCCAAATAGGGATGGTTTTCTGAATTGGGGCTTAGTTCTTCATCTCTTCCTTTAGGCTCTCATATTGCGGTGTCAATTTCAGAATGCTGCCTGACAGATGTTACTGGATCATACTTCACACATTCTAGGGAAAGTTCTTTGGATAGCTCCTGGAGGTACCTAGCATTGTACTAGCCCCCGATTTCTATGAATTTAAAACATACTTTCTCTGGTGTCAGAGGGTATGATGAGGATTTGTGCCTTATGTTGTGATAATGTGTAAGATCCAATAGTTATTTAATTTTGAGCTATAAACCATATGAAGGGCTAAGGGAAAGAGGGTGGTATTATTATACCATTTGTAAATGATGGTCAGGGGAGATTGCTAGTAATACCCAAACAAGCAAAAGGACATTTGGAAACAATACTTTGAGAGGCTCTTAAATAGACAAACCCCTTTTAGGGCAGACTTGCCACCATATGATCTTAATGTGGTGTCTGTGCCTGAGCCTGACCTAACAGAGGAAGAGGTGAGAAGTATAGTCCAGGAAATGAAGGCAGAGGGACCTGATGAACTGACAGCAGACCTAGTGAAAGTCTTGCATGAGAGAGGCACAAAATGGATGAGCAGAGTGAACAAACCGAGACAAGAGAATTCCCGAAGACTGGTACAATCTATCCTGGTCCCAATACATAAGACAGGAAGCATCCATGAACGTGTTAACTTATGGCGCTATTGGCACATGAGAGGAAGATTGGAGGTTTACGCCAGGGGAAGGCAGAATGCACCCTCTTCCCCCAGAGTTCAGCCACACATACATAGTGTCATTAATAAAGAGGTGCAGACTGCAGAAGGACTGCAGTGCTCTGCCCTGATCACACCTCTGAACCTGCCAGGCCCCCCTGGGATGCAGCGTATGACAGACCCTGAATGAGGGTGCAGTGACTGCATTTCGGAGGTAGATAACTTTCAACCACAAAAGTAACAGGGACACCAGCTCTGTGTGGCCACAAGGACTTCTGGGATTAAAATGAGGGGTTTTGTCTCCATCTAAGTTGCAAAGGGGAGGCAGAGTCCAGGCTGCCAGCATCAGGTGGCTGTGCCATCCCAGTGGGCTGGGGTTCAGCGGTGCATGCTGGGAGCTGGCATGTCCCAGGGCTGGGGTGCAGCGGTGCATGCTGGGACCTGCTGGCATGTCCCAGGGCTGGGGTGCAGCGGTGCATGCTGGGACCTGCTGGCTGCCCCTTCTGCATGGGAGTGGGGGCTGCTACGACCTGCTCCCCTCTGTGCCGCGCCGGGGACCCAGGCCAGAGCCCCTGCACCTCCCAGCAGCCGCAGCCCGGGCTGAGCCCACCTGCGCGCTGCCCCCCGGCCGCGGCCCCTTTAAGAAGGCGCCGGGCAAAGGCCGATCCAGGCGGGACGGGCGCGGCAGCCAGCCAATAGCGACAGTCTGCTCCGCCCGGGGGAGCCAATGAGAGCCGGGGGCGGGGCTGGAGCAGCTGATCCCGGAGGCCAGGTGGGTGCTGGTGCTCGCGGGGGCTGCCCCCGCCCAGTGTCCGTGCCCCCCCCCCCCCCGGACTCGCAGCCAGCCAGGGTCCGGGGGGAGCGGGGCCCCCAGGCTGGGGGGGGCTGGGCTCTGCGGGGGGGGGTCCTGCCCCGGCTGGGAGCCACGTGCCTGTGCCTGCCTGGCAGTGCCGGGGCTGGGGGCGTCTCTCTCCCGGGCCAGCCCGTGGCTGGGGGTGGCCCTGACTCGACTTGGGGTGCGTGGTGAGGCGCCTGGTACTGGGTGAAGCCGTTTCCCCAGCCCGCTGGGGCTGAGAGTCCCATGGAATCGTGGGTCCAGGACCCAGGGGCGGTGGGGTGGGGGAGCCTGGGGGGAACCCACCCAGGGGCGGTGGGGGGAGCCGGGGGGGAACCCACCCAGGGGCAGTGGGGTGCGCAGAAGGACT